CCCCCCCACGCAAGAAGGGCCGGAGAGGTGGGGACGGAGCCCACCCCCCGCCCTGCTTCTCCGCCTCAAAGAGGGCCAGGGGTGCTTGTGCCCGAGGTGGCCTCTGAGCCTGGGCGCCCGGGCGGGCCCAACTCTCGGCTGGTGCAGGAGACATTAAGCAATTCGCCCCCGTGGGGGGGGCAGAGGTGTGTGGGGGGGAGAGCTACCACGCAAGAAGGGCCGGAGAGGTGGGGACGGAGCCCACCCCCCGCCCTGCTTCTCCGCCTCAAAGAGGGCCAGGGGTGCTTGTGCCCGAGGTGGCCTCTGAGCCTGGGCGCCCGGGCGGGCCCAACTCTCGGCTGGTGCAGGAGACATTAAGCAATTCGCCCCCGTGGGGGGGGCAGAGGTGTGTGGGGGGGAGAGCTATTCAGAGGGACAGGAATAGTCTCTGAGAGCAGCAGCGCTGGAAAGGGCACCCTGTGGGTCACAGAGTCCAGCCCCTGTCCTGGAGGCCGGGGGGGGGGAATCCAACGCCCTGCCTCTGCCTCTGCCGCCAGGTAGGTGCCTCTGAGCTCACCTGCAAGGCCTCCCCAGGGGCCCTGCCGTTGGTCCCAAGGGCACCCTGGACCCAAACACCCCCCATCCAGGAGAGGAGGGACCAGCTGAGATCCCCTGGAGGGAGCCCATGTGGCGGATGGCGCCCGCCGCCCCTGCTCCGTGGGAAGCCTTGGCGGAGGCTGCCTGCCTGGTGGTCCCGGAGCCCCCACCAGGGAGGAGGGGCAGGCCAGAAAGCACTTTACAATCAAGAGACCAGTAAGACGTTAAAAACTACCTTAACTTTAAAATGGCCTTCAGGGACTCCGTCATGGTGGTTAAAAGCCCGCCTGTAAAGGAGGGTCTCCAGCTGTCAGTGGGGAGGATCAAAGGGAAAGGGCCACCCTGACCTCCCCAGGGAGAGCCTTCTGTGACTGGGGGGGGAAGAGGCTGCCACAGAGAAGGCCCTCGTCTCTCCATCAGCCATGCCTGCGCTGGCGGTGGGACCAAGAGGACTCTGACTCTCTTAAACAGAGAGGAGGCTCGTGGGCTGGGGGGGGGCAGAGATACAGTCCAAGCTGTAGAGAGGGCGTGATAGGGAATGGTCAGCCCTTTGAATTGGGCCCGGAAACGGGTGGGTAGCCAGTGGAAGCGTTCTAAAAGGGGCGTTCTCTACTCCCTATAACTGGCCCCAATCAAGAGTCCGGCTGCCGCTGCCTTTGGAACCAGGTGACGTTTCTGAACCGTCTTTTCAAAGGGTCGAGTGTGTTACAGTCATCCAGGCGAGGGGTAACTAAGGTATGTGTCACTCTAGCCCAATCAGAAAACTCAAGCAATGGCGTGGCCGGTGCATCCGTTTTAACTCTGCAAAGACACTCCTGGCCACAGCTCTTGGGATGAACCGAGACGGGCACCCAAGCTGCGAGCCTGAGTTTTCAGGGGGAGCGTCACTCCACCTAACACAGATGGTATCCCTATTCCTTGATCGGCCTCCCGGCTGACCAGGAAGCACCTCGGCCTTGTCTGGATTAAGTTTCCGGCGGTTTGCCCTCCTCCAGCCCATGACGGATGCCAAGCCCTGGTTGAGAACCAAGAGAGCTTCCTTGGAATCGGACGGGAAGGCGAGATGGAGCTGGGTGTCATCCACATACTGGTGACACTGAGCCCCAAAACTTCAGACAGCCTCTCCCAGAGATTTCATGGGGAACAAGCAGGACCCTGAGGGATCCCACAGGGTCTTGAACAGGAGCCCCCCCCTCAGCACCACCTTCTGAATTCTCCCTTCCAGGAAGGACCGGAGCCACTACGAAACGGGGCCTCCAAGTCCCATCCCGGAGAGATGGGCCAGAAGGACACCATGGTTGGTGGCATCCAAAGCCCCTGAGAGGCCCAACAGAACCAACAGGGACACGCTCCCCCTGTCCAGTTCCTGGCATAGGCTATCCACCAAGGCGACCAAAGCAGTCTTCATCCCATAACATGGCCTGAAGCCAGACTCAAAGGTGTGTAGGTTATCCACTTCCTCCAGGAATCCGTGGAGCCGAGAAACCACCACACGCTCTGGTACTTTCCCCAGAAATGGAGCTTTTGAGACTGGCTGAGAGTTGCCCAGTCAAGTGGCATCCAGGGAGGGCCTCGTGGTCTTATTACGGCCTCCTCGAAGCCTTCACCACTCCCAGACTCTCAGTGGCCATTCCCCCTTGGGCGCTTTCCATTAGTCAGGAAGGGCAAGGGTCCGGCACACACACACGTGCAGCCTGGCATTCCCCTTTCCAGGAATCCTGTTCACATCATCAGGCTGTAAAAACAGAAACTGCACCATTAAAACGTGAAAAGCAGGGCCCAGAGTGGCATCCGCAAGGACCAGCGCTGAAGTCCGAGCGGATCCGAGCAACTTTGCCTGCAAGGTCTTCTGCCAATTCCTCACCGCGGGTGGCTGGGTGGCCAGCATCCTGTTCTTTTGGTATTAAGCCTGGTGGACCATGGGGTCTGTTTCTCCGTTGCATATGAGGAGTTTGAAAAGCAAACTTCTGGCCTTCTTCAGGTAGCCATTGTATTCATTGTGCATCGCAAAAATAAAAAGAAAACCACCCTCTTCCAGGTTCGGCCCCCGTCACATCCGGGCGGAGTCTGCGATGGTGAGGCGGTTCAACCCAAGCACCGGGGCGGATCCCTACCACTCCCTTGTGGTGGCCGACATCGGCGACGTCAACGTCAACCTCTATAACCTGAGGGACAGCTGCAGACAAATCCGAGAAGCCTTCCAGAAGATTGTGGCAGGGGGCTGCATACCCCTTACGCTGGGTAAGAAGGCAGGATGGCTTTGAGTGCAACATGCAAGGAGAACTAGCCAGAAAAGGCTGGGTGCAAAATCCCAGGACAAGGGATTGAAAGGGTTGAGCCTTTGCACCCAGCAGGATTCCTCATCACCCCCTCTTGACTTCTTCTACCCTGAGGGTCCCCTTCTGCACTTGGAGAAGGAGGCCAACCCATGGGAACAAGTCCAGAGGAGGCCAACCAGGAGGACCAGGGGCTGGAAACCAAGCCCTTGGAGGAGGAAAGGCTGGAAGCACTGGGCAGGTTTAGCCTTGAGAAAAGAAGAATGAAGGGAGAGGAGAACACTCTCCAAAGACTTGAAAGGCTGTCCTATAGAGGAGAGGCAGGATCTGTTCTCGATCATCCCAGAGATCTAGGGATATGATGAGGCAAAACTCAGTCCTTCCAACAGCTGTGCCAAACCTCCATGTGGGAACTTGAGTTCAACGACAGACAAAGGGTGTGTGCTTCACAATCTAGCCAGGATGACCTTTGGAGCGCTTTCTCTCCCTCCTCTTCGAAAGCTCCTCCATGCCCAGCCTGATGAAGAACCCGGCAGGTCTCGAAAGATCACCTGCTCTCATAGTTTTACAGGTCCGGTGAAAAGATTTTGGTGACAAAGCGGCAGACTTTTGGAGAATGGGATTGAGTGATTTGGTAAGAGGGGGCGCTAGCTATTTTCCATGAATTTATCACATTCTGGTATTTTTAATGTGGCAGGTAGTTCGTTGCCCAGTTCTGTGTAAAATAAGAGACCAGGAGCCCAAAAACACTCTCTCTGTTTGGGGAGTGGGACAGTGAGACTCCCCGGTCCTTCTCGCTTCAGCCGCCGATGCTGCAGAGTAGACCAGGGCTCGCGGAGGTGCTGTTGCCCATGCTGCAGTGCTGGCATGCATCGCGAGAACCCTTTCAGCCCTTCTTTCCAAGAAAAGTTGCAAGCCCTGGGCAGCAGCATTGAGCAAAAGTAAACGCACCGGTTCTAGCAGTTTGCTCGAAAGGTGGGTGTTTTGCAGTGTTAATGGGTCTTAATTACCTATCCAATTACCCTGTATTACACCTGCAATAGTTTGCAACCAGGTGGTGTTCTTTAAAAAATCCACCACCACCCCTTTTCTGGCTCTAGTTGCTGTGAATTTTGCAGCTCATCTGAGAGGGCAAAGGAGACCACTGTGGTTGGTGGGGGTGGGGCATGTGGTTTCGCTCTCCCGGATACTGAAAAAAATCTGGGTGCTTTATCCCTAGGGGCCCAGGTGCCGTTATGGAGGCATCCAGCTGTGGGCCACTTTCATTACTCTGCATCTTTTCCTTCTGACAGGCGGAGACCACACGATAACCTACCCCATCCTACAGGCTGTGGCAGAAAAGTAAGTCTTCGGTCCCAGGAGCAGGGCTGGCGTCAGACGTGAACTCGTTCGTTCCCCAAGCAGGCAATACCAATTTTTTTGGCCCTCGGCTTTCCCCCTTCCTCTGTGGAGGGCTCCCTGGCCACGTGTCCTCAGGGTGGGCTGGGCCGGAGACTTTGGCCCCCAAGTAGCTGGCTGCAACCCAAAAGGGGGTGTGCGCGAACACACATGGTCCCCCTGCTCACCTGGGCTGGCTGGTTGACCATCGCTGGTGTGTGTGTGTGTGTGGGGTGGTTGATCTCCATCCTTTCATGGAGCAAGGGATCTTTAACTTGAGCCCCCTGTATGTTCCTGCACTACAGCTCCCAGCAGTCCTGGCCACTGGCTGTGCTCGCTAGGGCTTCTGGGAGTTGTAGTTTCCGGGGGAGGATGGTGAATCCAGCATGTTGGAAAGACCACAAGCTCCAACCCTCCAAGAGGCTATAATGGGCTGGGGAGTACTCAGAGCAGGGCTTCCTCTCATTAGCTGTTCCCCCATTATAGAAACCCTTCCCAAAGTCAGCCAGGGTCCTTCCCTGTCGAGCTTCAGGCATGCAGCCAAAGCTGTGTTATTCCAGCTGCCAGCTGGCTTTTAAAGTTGGATGTGCATGTTTTTAAAATCTGTGTTCTACATCTTGAGAAGGGAGCATGGAGAAGAGAGTTACTGTGGTGCCATGGTTAGAGGGTTAGTACCCGGGGAAGCTGGTCATGTTGCAGAGTTTGAATTTCGGGTTAAATTCCTCTAGCTGCACAGCACAAGTGCAAGGATTCACAGAGCAGAACAACTTCAAATTCTCCACATTAGTTCATCCCTTTTTTCCTCGTCACCTGGCACTGACACTCTCAGTAACTCTGAGGTATTAATTGTAGAAAGAATAAAAAGGTTTCATTGCTTATCGTTGCAAACAGATTGACAGCAAACTGACAAACATGTCAGACTGACTGCTTTCAACAGCAGACTTCCATGGACTCTAGAGCGAGAAAGAGGCTCTTTGAATTCAGAGGCAGGGAAGGAACGAGGGGTTAATGCTGGAGACAGCCCAGAAGGGTCCCTCCCGCCCAAACCTCCTAAAGGCAGCCTGAAAAAGGTTTAGCTCTTCCCCTCAGGCCTCAAAGTCACTGGGTGACGATCTCTCAGCCCAAGCTAACTCACTGGCTTGTGGTAAGGACCGTGAGGGGAGGAAAGGCAGGACGGAAATATAACCTGCAGTAGTAGAAGAATAAGAATAGCATGATATAAATAGGATGCCCAGCATGGTGCAGTGAATAAAGGGATGGGCTAGGAGTCCGGAGGCCTGGGTTCAAATCCCCGCTTGGCCGCAGGAACTGACGTGGTGGAGCGGAACTGGTAAGACCACTCCTCAAACATCTCACTTACTTTGAAAACCATGTTAGGGTCGCTGTACGTCTCTTCGGACTTGGTGGCACAGAACATGATCATGTAAATGGGTGAAGTCCAAAGAAACAAAGTGGACGTGTCCCTGAAAGCTTACATTAAAATACAACTGTTAGGCTTTAAGGTGCTGCGTGTTTTCATATTGTCTTGTCTCATTTTCTTTTGTTTCTTTGGATTTTGCCGGAGAGGCTGGCACAGACTAACACGGTGACCTCTTGTAGAATGAGCACTCTCTCCAGTTGGGGACCAACCGTCCCTGTAAATAAATGTCTGGAGCGCTGGACAGGACCCCCGCCCCAGGCGCACAGGCTTCTGGGTGCGGCCGGAAGCGCACGGGGGGCTTGATGGCATGCCTCCAAGGCAATGCTATGGAGCGGTGCGGCTGTGTGCCTTAGAGGGAATGTTGAGGGCAACATCAAACAATGCTCAGTAAAAGCGGTGGAGAAACATTTTGCACAAACAGACAGCAAATTCTTATGATGGCAAAAAAACAAAAACAGGTTGACCTTTTCTTCTGTGTTGTTTGTGACGTCTCCTGTTCAACCAGACATGGGCCCGTGGGGCTGGTGCATGTGGATGCTCACACTGACACCGCGGATGAGGCATTAGGGGAAAAGATCTACCACGGGACCCCCTTCCGGCGCTGCGTGGACGAGGGTCTCCTGGACTGCAAGCGGGTAGTCCAGATTGGCATCCGTGGCTCTTCGTACTCTCCAGACCCATACAAGTATAGCCGAGAGCAGGTGATTGGTGATTGTTCCACCTGGTGATTGCTCTACCTATGGCTAAGTTTCTCCTTAAAAACAAAATAATGTGCAAATTAAAAAAGACATAGAAGCAACAGTTGACCTCTCAACAGCTGGGGTTTGTGGACTCTGGTCCACAGGAACCCAGAATAGGAGAGCTGAAGGGGTTCCCCAAGGGTCATCTAGTCCAACCCCCCCCCCCACACTTCTGCAAATCACCTCCAGTGGAAACCTCCCTGAGAGGTGGGCCCCCAACCGCCACTTAACAAACTCCCCAGGCTGAAGAACACACCCTGTATGGACAAAATGCCAGTACCTTAAAAAAGGAGCCATCGCATCCCCTTCCGTCGAGGGTCCTGGGGGTGGGCGCCACCGGCACAAGGGATGGGGGGGGGTGACTCAAAGGCCAGGTGAGGTAGTGATGGCCTGAGAAGGTCTCAGCTGCGGCAGTCCCTCGGGTCCGTGTCCATGGATGTCAATGCGGTTCCACTGCCGGCATTCTTGAAGTTATCAGTGGATGAAAATGTAAGAAACATAGAGGGCCATCAACCATCCTTTGGAAAACTGGAGGGAAGGCGCTGTTGCCTCTTCCCTTCTGATTTGGATCCTTTTGCTGAGCCTTGAAATCAGGCTCCTTTGTCCATGCAGAAGCCCTTCAGGTATCGGAAGCACCCTAAAATCCCTTTTCAAGTCCTCTAATCTCCCTCAGCGGAGGCTCCTTTTGCCCTGGAGATGAGAAGCTCCAGACCCTCAGCCCTCCTCTGAGGAGGCCACCCTCCTCTGCCCGTCTTCCACCTTCCCGATATCCTTTCTAAACTGTAACGCAAAGTGTGAGGCTGCTCTCTCAGGGCTGCGATGCGCCGCTCTAAAGGTCGTCGTCCCCGCTCACCCGCAACAGGGCTTCCGGGTCGTGCTTGCAGAAGACTGCTGGATGAAGTCTCTCACCCCCTTGATGGCCGAAGTGAGGACGCAGATGGGAGACAAGCCCGTTTATATCAGTTTTGATATCGATGGAATAGACCCGGCCTACGCCGCTGGCACCGGGACACCCGAAATTGCAGGACTCACCCCTGCCCAGGTAAGAATCATGAAAGAACAGGGGATTCACACAACACAACGTCTTTGCAGTTGTGCACAGTGGGGAGGCAGGGGGAGTGTGGATGTGGTGAACCTTAAGAGAGGCTGCCTGGCCATTTTTAGTTGTGGAATTTAGAAACACAAACACACCCCAAGACTGCCTGATCAAAGCCACAGCTGCTTGAGAGGGAGTGGTGGAAAAAAGGTTGGTAGAAGTTCATAAAATCACCAAACCTGCAGGAAAGTCAAAGAGTTGTTTTCTTGAGAGGCTGATAGCATTGGACTGAAAACAAAAGAATGAAATGCCACAGGGATAAGTGTAAAGTTCTAAACCTGGGGGGGGGGGAGGGAATAACCCAAATGTACAGTTACAAGATGGGGGATACTTGTCTCAGTGAGAAGGATCTTGGAATTGTCGTAGATCACAAGGCTCAAGTTATAGGAAGCCAGATTTCGGCTGAATATCAGGAAAGACCTCCTAACTCTGAGAGCAGTACGACCATGGGACCCATGACCTCGAGAGGTGGTGAGCTCTCCAACGCTGGAGGCATTGGAGATGAATTTAGATAACCCTCTGTCAGATCTGCGTGGATTTTGATTCCTGCCTTGAGCCAAGTGGTTGGATTTGATGGCCTCAGAGGTCCCTTCCAACATGATTCTAGGATTCTCCTCACACAACAAAACTTGATATTCCCAGAAAAGGGGATTTGGAATGGCCTTTTTAAAACAATGTTTTTTCACAAAGCCTGCCCTGCCATCAGCTGTGACAAGGCCCTTGAGCTTAGAGGGTTTTTAAAATGGGACCGGGGGGGGGGAATCTCTATGGAGAGGTCTGGGCTATTAGCAGGTCGGAGTAGAACCTCCATGTTTAGAGACAGTGCGCCTCTGAGAAGCAGTGGCCAGGGCACTCCGGGGAGCGTTGTTCTCTCCGTGCCTTGCCTGCCGACTTCCCCAATTGCTCTGGCTCGGCTGTCGGGCCAAACGGTGCAGAGCTCAGATGGACTGGGATTCTTTGGCAGCCCATTCTAGCTCCCGGAGTTTGGGCCCGTTTTCCCCCTGTCCAGGGTGCCGGCCAGAATCCTGCACTTGACGAGGGTGCACGCGTAGGTCCAGCCATGCTTTTCCTCCTGGTGTGCCAGTTGCGCGATTTGCTGCAGGAGTGAGTGTGTCTCCCCCTTGCCCCATGAGTCGTTCCAAAGACGACTCTGGCTACTGACACAAACGGGGATTCTTCCTGCAGAACAAGATTTACACCCACTCGTTTATGTTAGGAGGAGGGAAATGTACACATTAAATTTACTGCAGAACCTGCCTTTCCTCCGAGGAGCACAAACTTTCCCAGGAAAGGATCCCAGGGCCCCCATCTACCCCCTCAATGGCCCTGTGAGGGGGGCAAACAGGTGGGGAGAGGCCACTGACCCCACAAGCCCCCCCCCCAGCCCAATGGCATTAAGAGTCCAGAGCCAAAAGAAGAGACAAGCCTGGGATGGTGCAGGGGGAACGGGAGGAAATTAGCGCATTTTAGCCTAACGCTTGGTTAGGCTTAGGAGGAGGATGATTTGGGCCTTTCCAAATGGCAGGGTTGGGTGGGGGAGAGGAGTGTAGGAAAAGGTGGCCAGCAACCCAAATGGGGTCAGGGGAGAGGGGGCAGGGTGGCTGCTGGGTCCTGGCAGAACCACAGGCGGGGCCGGGGGCAAAGGTCTCCCAGATTCTTTCCATGCCCTCCCCCCCCCCCCCCCCCTCTCCGAGGGAAACCAATTCTAGAGTTCCGTCTGCCCTCCCCTGCTTTCCAACAGGCTCTGGAGATCCTCCGTGGCTGCCAAGGGCTGAATCTCGTCGGTGGCGACCTTGTCGAAGTGGCTCCTATCTATGACACATCGGGTAAGTGGGGAGACCCAGCAGGGCTGAGTGCCTTCCTGTTTTCCCAAACATGAGACCCCCCACGGCATGCTGCTGTTCATGCCCAGAGCTTCTGAGCTGCAGCACCTCTGGGGTCTTCCCTTTCCCACAAACCCTAGAATTAAGTTTGGGAGAGTCTCCAAGGACCATCAAGTCCTCTCGGCCATTTGGCTGTTATTAGTTCGGGCCCGCAGACGACAGCTGGCCCCACCGTCCATGTCTGGCGCTGGCTCTCCCCTCCGCCTCCGCTCTGGCAGGCAGCGAGCCTCTCCCAGTGCCCTCCACCATTCCTCAGAGCGTCTGGCTTCCGGGGTCTTCACCCCTTTTGTCCCCCACCCCCAAACCTGTCCCAGCTACATCCTTCTCAAACGGAGGGGCCCAAAATTGGACCCCGTTCCCCCCAGTGTTCAGAATACGGCGCCCTTCCTCTGGACAACAGACTTGGCTTGATGCTGCCTAGAATTCCATTTGCTTCTTTTGCTGCTGCATCACGCTGCTGGCTCCTGCTCAGCTTTGTGGCCTTGCTACGGCTCCCCAGATCCTTTGCCACACTGACTACTGCACAATTTTACCCATCCTATATGTGTGCGTCGGATTTCTCCTGCCTAGATGCAACCTTTTTATTTCTTCTCTTCCCTGCTATAAGTCCCCTTGCTCTCCAATCTGTTAAGGTCACGGTGAAAGTTAAAAAGTTGTTACTGAGCTTTTTGGGCAGACAGAGTAATGGATCAGAACGAGATTCAGACGTAGCTTCTGAAGCTCGACGGCATGTCCAGTCTTGTGCCTTGCCCTGCGTGCATGTGGAACTCTCGCCACAATGACTCTTGTTTCCCCTGCTGAAAGCAGCCAATCTTTTTCAAATCAAGGGACAAGCACTCAGGTCTCTTTACACGGTGGTTTAGGAATATTTTGTCTTCCTCTGGTTTACAGGCAATACAGCTCTCCTGGGAGCAAATCTCCTGTTTGAAATGCTGTGTGCCCTCCCACAAGTGAAGAAGCCGTAAGCGAAGAACCCAGGGGAACGTGTGCAGGAGATGCCCTTGAAAAGGAATGGACTTGCTCCCATTGCTGAACAGAATCAGGACCTCACCGTGTACTTGGGCCGGATACGTCCCTTTCCTTCCATCTCCTGCCTTTTAGGCCTCCAAAACCACAACAAACAAGGGACACCCTTGAGAAACGGGCTCATCAACAAAACACAAGATGCGAGGCTCTCCAGATTTGTTTTAGAAAATGACGTTGCTAGTCCTCATTATGGGGGGAGAGGGAAAACCGACCACATGCTACTGAGCACTTAGAAACCAGAGCAGATCTCGGTGGGTTTCCACTGGTGGCCATCCCGAGCTGGGTGGGGGCAAGAGGAGAACAGAATTATCCCATCACTGATGGGTAGCAGCTTGAAACACAAGAGGGGGGGATCAGCTCCTGTAAAGTAGCAATTGTCCTTTTAAGCATCTTTGATTTCTTCTTTTTAAATTATAAAGCTCAAATCCAGAAAAAGGCAAAGTTCATCCCCCATCCCCTTGGGAAGGGAGGGATCTGCAGAAATCATGGAAATATTGCAAAATACTTGGAAGGCAGAAATTAGTCTATAATTAGAAGTCCTTAAGAGCTAATTGCGTGTGCCTAGATCACCGCCAGAGCTCCTCCCACTTTTTCTGGGTTAGGCCATTCGTTTGCTTCGTTCCGTCACTGCTGCTCAGCATCCCAGCACCTCTGAATCCTTAAATACAAAATGCCCTCGTAGGACACATCCTTCTGAGACTCAAATGCTTTCAGTGCTAATGAGAGATTTATCATCGAGGTAGGCTACATTTAGTGGAACAGCTTCCACTAAACCATCCCAAATGCATTTCTTATTTCATCTCTCCTTTCCTCCAAAAATAAGTCTAATGATTCTTTTCCATCAACCGAAATCAGAAGACTGCATCACATCTTGTGACACTGAGTTCCAGATATGAATTCTCTGAAGCCTACATGGAACAAGATGAGGGGAAAGGGGGGGGAAAGGGACAGAGAATTCAGTCATTATTTTTTAAATAAAAAAAGACATGAAGCTCAATGAAACTGTGTGTGTAAGTGATAGCTTGGAACCTGATAAAAAATAAAGACGATTCCCCACCAAGCTCTGTGCTGTTGTTTTTTAAAAGTTCACCTCAAAGCACCCAGTGACTTACTGATCACACATTAAAAAAGTTTATTTTCAGTTGCAAATCTGAATCTACTTAAAGTTAGCTCTTCTCTTGATTACCGGCACAAGAACTGAGAAGTGTAAAGAAAAGCAGAACCCAGATTAGTCAAAACAGTTTCTGGATTTCTGAAGCAATGAGAACCATGCCTGGGACCTTCTCTGTCCCCTTTCTTAAAAATGCAGACAATTCAAAAATGAGCCCCTGCATGCAAATTTATCTTGTAATCATGCCTCTTTGCGGAACACTTGACATCACAGCAAAAACAAATAGGATAGCAGTGATTTTCATACAGGAGTTGTTGTTCTAAAAGACATATTGGGTTCCATCACTCTTGTTCAGAACAGAGATGGTCATGATTAGAGATGGGGACGACGCACCATTTTGGTGAGTCGTCCCGCTTCGTGAGTTGTCAAAAGCTGATGACTCACGAAGCACAAAGTTGCCCCCAGGAAGCAATGGATAATGAATATATTCATTGATTCATGGGGGTTATTAAAAAACACCCCACTTCGCCCCCCCACTGCCACCCCACCCCCATGCTGCCACACCTCCCACTGCCGCGCCACCACCATAGGGGAGGTGGTAGCAGGGGTGTGGCAGTGGCAGCAGGGGGCAGGGGCAGGGTGTGTTTCCCTTGGCCTGCCTTAAGGGAATCCAGGTTGCCCTTTGCAAAGATGGCCGCTGCAGCTTCCCTAACTTGAATGAAACCGCAGCCACCATATTTGCAAAGGGCAGCCAGTTTCCCTTTTTACACGCCATGGCTGCAGAGGCCTGATGGAGACCTCGGCAGTGGTGCCAATGGTTACGGTAAGTGGGTGTCGGCGGGGGTGGGGAGGCTAAGGTAGGGGGAGGAAGGAGGTGGGCGGGTAGAGACTGTGGGGGTGGGTGGCTGCCTAGTTCTGCTGGTAGGCAGAATGGTTTTTTTTTTTAATCACGAAGGGATGCATAAAATGGGGAAATATTTGTCCCTTGTATTCGTGGGGGTCTCTGAAACCCACGAATATGAAGGGACGAATATTTAACGGATCAGCAATTTTCCACAAATACCGTGATTCGTTTTTTTATTTGTCCCAATGTCTAGTGTGGGGTCAAATGTGTGGCAGTTGAACAAAGTCCTCAGAACACTATTAGGTTGTTGTACATCTCGGTAGTTTTGAGTCCATGTGATTTGAAAGCTACGCCTCTAATGTCAGATTTTGGAAGGCTGTGCCAGACATTCTGCATGATAGAGATCCACACCCATCATCTTCAGATCAGCCACTGGGCCCATATGAATATGAGATGTTTTCTGCTTCTATTAAATGTATGTGTGCATGTCTTTGGGGGAATCTTAGGAGGCTTTAAGAGGTTGATAATGATTTCTGAGTCATTGATTTGTTTGGCCATAAAATGCCTCCCTAAGCCTCTTGAGACGCAAAAATTGCATTGAAGCTTCCCCTGACACTTCTCTATAGGGCCTTCATCTTTGGTGAAGATTGGGTTTCCCCAAAAGTTAGCTGCTAAAGGGCACTTTTCTTGGGGAACTGAACTTGTGGGTGTGTAACTTGGACGTCTGAAACCCAATTTTCACCAAACTCGGAGGGAATTGCAGAGAAGGGTTAGTAGAAGCTTCAATATGATTTTGATGTCTCTAGATGGCCGGGAGTAAACTTTATAGGGGTGTATAACTCAGACATCCAAAACCCACATTTCATGAATATTCAAGTGGTTTGAGAGGAGAGTCGTGGGAAGCTCCCCGTGAATTTGGTGTTTCTAGTCCTTGTGGGGCCATTTTATTGGGTTTTTAAATAAATAAATAAATAAATAAATAAATAAATAAGTAAATAAAATAAATTGCAAGTTGACTGATCAATCTGTCAGAAAAAAACATACATTTGTAAGTTGTGATTTGTTGACCTTGATGAAGCAAAATGAATATCCATTTTTCTAATTCGTGCCCTGAATAGAACAGGTTTCATCTCTGCATGAACCATCAAGAGAGTTTCAGAAGTAGGAGGCCATTTCCTGCTTTGTGTCAAGGGACAGGAGCAGTTCCTGCAAAGGGGTCTGTCATGTCACTTTGATTTTTTTGTCACCAAAATCTACCCCTAGAGGCTAAGGGGAGAGGAGCAGTAGTCACAGGAGCACACATACAGTGGTGCCTCACTAGACAGTTACCCCACATGACAGTTTTTTTGCTAGATAATTACTTTTTGTGATCTCTAGAGTGATTCGCAAAACAGTGATTCCTATGGGGGAATTTCACTGGACAATGTTTGGTCCCTGATTCGCAAACCGATTTTCTCTAGATGACGATTTTGACAGCTCCCCCTGCGCTCGCAAAACAGGTGTTTTCAGGACCTAAGCTTCGCAAGACAGCGATTTAAACAGCTGATCGGCGGTTCGCAAAGCGGCTTTCCTATGGCCAATCTTCACTAGACAACGTCGATTCTTCCCCATTGGAACGCATTAAACAGTTTTCAATGCATTCCAATGGGGAAATGCTTTTCGCTAGACAATGATTTCGCTAAACAGTGATTTCAGTGGTACGGATTATCATTGTCTAGTGAAGCACCACTGTACACACATCGAGTGTGATGTGCATGAGGGCTCATAGCTTGTGTTCTACAGTACTACAATTCCAAGTTCCTTCTCACTCATAGTATTTCTGCCCCCGGTACCCCCATTTTGTAACTGTTCATTAGTTCCCCCCAAGTCCCACCCCAACATGTAGAACTCTACAATTATCCCTGTTAAATGTTATTCCATTGTGTACAGCCCAGTGCCACAGTCTCTAAAGATTGAAGTTTATTTCTGTCTTCCAGGGTATAAAGCTACTCCACCCCATTTTGTGTGATACACAAATTTGATAAGTATTCCCTAAGCCTGGTGCTAACAGCTCAACTGAGGGGAGAGCAATGAATCCAAGATAATTCGCTGCATAAACTTAATGATGGTGATGACTTCAGAAGATACCATCTCTAGTTTAATTTTGATGCTTTTTGTTACTGGACCCCAAACCAACAGTGACCTCTACGGGCCAAAAGCGTTTAAAACTACAGGCTAAATGATGGGATTGAAGGAGAGGGGGTACAGTATAGGAATTGGAGGAAGGAGTAGAGTTTGTGTTGGGCAAAAGGAGAGTGTGGAGGGAATCCTCTGACTGACTGGATAGTAGACCTGGAAGGGCATCCTAAGGAGTGGTGAAGATTCCCCCCTCCAGCAGGTACTCATGGAATTGAGAGAATATTTGGTGTTTCTGCTAGTAAAATGTAAATTCTACATTATTGGCTCTTGAGTGGATACCTCTGCTTTAGCAGCTATTATCTAGAGAAATAATATGAGTCTCAAGTTGAATGGAAATCCATTAAGAGGAAGAGCAGGACTAGAAAACCCTCTTTCTCCTTGAGCTGTCTTCCATGCAAGAAGGATTGGGCGGAGCGGAAGCACCGAGGGTGGAAGCCCCGTGGGGGGGGGTCCCTCCACAGTAACAACCAAGCGGTTTGAAGAGGAAACAAGAAGTAAAGGAAGTGTGGAGGCCTCTCTCAGCTCCTTTGATTCTGGTGCACAAATGGTAACTTGAGCAGGACATGCGAATGTGTGTTCCTATTTGCACATGGGAGAGAAAAAACCAGAAGCTGCTCCTGTACCCATGTGACCACTTACCTGGGAGGAGGTACCACTGAACTTGGTGAAACATAATTTGTGGGGAGAGAAATAGAGTCAGAGCACCGAAGTTTTGAACTTCATGTTCTCAATGCATCTCTTGGGAAAATAAATAGATACTTTTTTAGCTCCTGAAGGATATCTGTGCAAGTTCCAGGCACTCAGCAAGAGAGAAGCCCATAGGTGAGGGGATTCTCCAGAGGGGAATCTTTCCTGTCATCCCCCCCCCCATCCACCTGCCTTCGAATTTCAGCAACAGACAAGCACACTTTGCTAAGATCACAGTGACATGCACTTTACTTAGCACTGCTGTTTAGTATTGGGGGAAATGCTTACCCCCAATCTGGGAGTGCTAGTCCAGTGGTTCTTAACGTGGGTGATAATGTCCCCCAGGGGGCGATTTCATTTTTCAGGGGGGCGGTGGAATGAAAAGGGGCGGCGTGGGGGTGCTGGAGCAGAAGGGGGCGGTAGGGGGCGCTGGAGCAAGCCAAACCTGTGAAGATGGCTGCAGCCTTTTTACAGTGTGCATGAATATATATTTTCCTCCAATTTTAATTTAGTTTCAGACTTTTTGTCTTGAAATTTTTAGTTCCTGCATTTGTTTTTATCCCCTTTTCATATTTCTTTTTGCGTCTTAAAATTCACTTGCAACTAAATCATTAAATGTTATTTTTTGGGGGGCATTTCATTTTCTTGGAATTTAATTTTGTTTTCAGGGGTCATTGGATTTAAGTGTCTTAAATAAATAAATGAATGAATGAATGAATGAATGAATGAATGAATGAATGAATGAATGAATGAATGAATAAATAAATAAATAAATAAATAAATAAATAAATAAATAAAAAAGATATCATCACCGCAGGGAGGGGGGCGATGATAACTTCCTCAATGGCTCAAGGGGGCGTTTCTTTCAAAAACGTTAAGAACCACTGCCATAGACCACCACCCTGTGTTCCCACGCTGGGTGAACACTTCGAGGGTGTGTGTCCTGGCAGTCACAGGCAAGCTTCTAAACTTAGGTTTCTACCTGTCCGCTTTCTCGAGACAGAAATATTTCCGGTTGCATTTCTGGGACTAACACCAAGCAGACAAGGCAGGTCACCCAAACAACAAACGAAGCAAACTTAGTCAAAGGCTTGGGTTTCTGGTAGATCCACTCCCTCCCTCTTTCCCCAGACTCACACTTGGGTAAAAGTAATTTATTATGTTTATAAAAGAAAGAAGTCAAAAGAAAGAAGTTGTAGGTTCTTTCTTTTGACGGCTTGGGTGACTCTGTCTTGTTTGG